ACCCCAACTCCAAAAAAAAAATTTTCCCCCGTCTTCTCATCGTGGGAGGATGGGAGGATTAAACTTGTTTACTCGTTTTTCGTTTTATTATTTATCATTTAATAAGTGAGGTTATTCTCATAAATTAGTTCCTTCAATAGGTTATTTAGATAATCTTTTGAGAGGGTAGGGTTTTCTTGTTCGCAGTGTTTTTTTCAGTAGGTTGCTCTACTGAGAGGTAGGTCCGTTTTCCAGTGTTCATAGCAGCGTTGAAGATATTCGCAACGTTACATATGCTCAATGAAGAATCATTCACCGCAGATCTAATATTTAGATATATGGTTTGGAGTTTTCAACAGAATTTTAGATATATATTCGAGATCAGATTCAAACTCTAGTACGTGATATGTCCGTCAATTATATTGGTAAATCTGTATAGGCTTATCCACGCTAAACACAACAAAGTGATACATTGTAAGTTGTGTTTGACTATTTCTTTGTATCAATTAATCGCAGTTGGATGATTTCCAGTAAATGAATGAAAGTACTATTTTATTTCAAAAAAAAAAAAAAAAAGCACCCGTCATCAAATGACACTGAACAATCACTTACTACACTAATGATGATTTTTCTGGCGAATTCAATTTTATAGAATCCCATGCAAAATAACCCCATATCTCCAACTAATCCAAAAATAACCTAATTTATCTCTCAAGATTGGTTGGAGTAGATTAATTTTAATATAATAATTAACTAAGAGATTACCTATTAACAGTAAATTTTAATGGTAAAAAGAGAAATGGCCAAAAAGAAACTTCAAACTAATAAATTCAATAATCAACTGAATTAAAAATCAAAAAAATAATTTGATGTTTTTCTTTTTAAAGATAAAACCCGACAGCCATTGCGAGAAATAATAATTTACTGATAGTTATGTGTAAAACTGTATTCATTAGTCTTTTTTTTTCTTTTTTATTTCTTAATGTATAGGTTTTTATTTCAATTGGCAGTGCTTTGATTGTAAACTTTTTAATGCTAATATATTTTTTGCTTCTTAACAGGCAATTTCAATACAATGAGTACTATTGATTACGTTGTGTAAAAATTGTCAAAATAATAATAATAATAATACTAATAGGATAAGTATATATTAATCGGCCAAACTTTTAATAATATTAGAATAGTGGTTCTTCGATTGTAAATTTTCTAATGATAATATATTGTTTGCTCCTTAATAGGCAATACTATTAAATGATTATCATTGATTACTATGTAAAAATTACAAAAACTAATAATAATAATGCTAATAATAAAATTATATATTAATCGTCAAGACTTTTAGTAATATAATAATATATATTATACATTATAAAATAATACAATAAATGATTACTAATAAAATGTCATAATATAATATATTCATTATATTTTTTCATATAGTATAATGGTAGAAAAAGTTAAAATAATGATGATTTATAAAACAAAACATAGAGATCAATAAGGAGAAATTTTTCCGAAATTAAAAAAAGTATACAAGTCTTTATGAGAGACAAACATTAAAACAAAAGTATATGAGAAATTAAAAATAATTATATAAATGAAAAAAAAAATTATGTAAAAGATAAGAAATTACCAAAAACAAATCCGAGATAATTGTGAAAATGAAACATCATTACAAAATGTTCAAGAAATGAAGCTTTAAAAAGAGATTATCAAATTTAATTTTTTTTAAAAAACAAGGTGAAGACTATGCAACCAAAAAAAATAAATAAAGTATATTATATGAAAAATCTATGAACAAATTTTGAAAGGTTGCAAAAGAAATATAGAGAGATAGAAAATAAATATAAACTTATAGAAACAAATAATTAGAAAATTTTCTATTATAGAGAGAGTTTGAAATATATGACCCAAGTAAAAATATTTAGAGTGATCATTATAAAAAATTAAGAGAATATTTTTATAAGATATAAATTAATAAATCAATAAAACGAAAGATATGGACAATAAGTTACATTTGATGATTTCAAATATTGGAAATAATTCTAAATGTACTTAAAATAACTAAACACATTGACATTAAAATTACATAATTACAATTTATATTATAACATCCCAACCTCACATACTGGCCCAACAATTTTAAGGTTTTCGTCCTCACCAGCCCAAAATGGATAATCCAAGTTGTTAGTAATTTATGAGGTTGAGACTTATATACAGTTCATTCAGTTTGTCAGGTAGTAATGTGGGACAGGATGTTACAGCCAACCCCTTTTAGATATTTGCGTCATTGAAAAAGCCCAACAAACAAGAATGTGGCCCAGTCTTCCCCCGGAATAGGACTCTAAAGGTGGCTCCCGTGCGCTGCACTTGTCCCATCTGCAGGCTCAGAGGTGTCTCTGTACTTGTCCCGTCAGTGGGCTCAGAGGTGTGTCCGCACGTAGCACTTACTTCCTAGACCAGGGTCCGCTCTGATACCATTTGTAACATCACAGGCTCATAGAGTGGCCCAACAACTTTCAGGCTTTCGTACTCGTTAGCCCAAAATGGTTAACCCAAGTTGTTACTAGTTTATAAGGTTGAGACTTATATACAGGTCATTCACTTTGTCAGGTAGCAATGCGGGACAGGATGTTACAGCCCACCCCCCTTGGATCTTTGCGTCCTCGCAAGGCCCAACAAGCAAGAATGTAGCCCAGTCTTCCCCCGGAATAGGACACTAGAGGTGGCTCCCGTGCTTCGCACTTGTCCCATCTACAGGCTCAGAGGTGTCTCTGTACTTCTCCCATCAGTGGGCTCAGAGGTGTGTCCGCACATAGCCCTTAGCTCCTACACCAGGGTCCGCTCTGATACCATTTGTAACATCCCAGCCTCATAGGCTGGCCCAACAACTTTCAGGCTTTTGTCCTCCCTAGTCCAAAATGGTTAATCCAAGTTGTTAGTAGTTTATGTGGTTGGGACTTACATACAAGTCATTTACTTTGTCAGGTAGTAATGTGGGACAGGATGTTACAGCCCACCTCCTTTGGATCTTTGCGTCCTCGCAAAGCCCAACAAGCAAGAATGTGGTCCAGTCTTCCCCCGGAATAGGACTCTAGAGGTGGCTCTCGTGCTTTGCACTTGTCCCGTCTGCAGACTCAGAGGTGTCTCTGCACTTAACCCAATGGTGGGCTCAGAGGTGTGTCCGCACATAGCACTTAGCTCCTAGATCAGAGTCCGCTCTGATACCATTTGTAACATCCCAGCCTCATAGACTGGCCCAACAATTTTCAGGATTTCGTCCTCGCTAGCCCAAAATGGTTAACCCAAGTTGTTAGTAGTTTATGAGGTTGAGACTTATATACATGTCATTCACTTTGTCAGGTAGCAATGTGGGACAGGATGTTACAGCCCACCCGCTTTGGATCTTTGCGTTCTCACAAAGCCTAACAAGCAAGAATGTGGCCCAGTCTTTCCCCCGGAATAGGACTTCAGAGGTGGCTCCCGTGCTTCGTACTTGTCTCGTCTGCAGGCTTAGAGGTGTCTCTGCACTTGTCCTGTCAGTGGGCTCCGAGGTGTGTCCGGACGTAGCACTTAACTTCTAGACCAGGGTCCACTCTGATACCATTTGTAACATCCCAGCCTCATAAACTGGCCCAACAACTTTCAGACTTTCGTTTTCCCTAGCCCAAAATGGTTAACTCAAGCTGTTAGTAGTTTATGAGGTTAAGACTTATATACATGTCATTTACTTTGTCAGGTAGCAATATGGGACAGGATGTTACATATATCATTAATATTTTTTTTTTTACATATATCTCTCCGTCGGAAATGACATATAATCGTTAAATCATTAAGCTAATATATATCTTAAACAACCCGCACAACGTGCAGAGTAAACACTAGTATATATTAAAGGAGAGTGGTTCGCAGAAGCTAATTCAGCTTAGTTAGACCATCAATAGCTTTAGGGACACATGTCGTCTCCACGTTTGAGTTAAAGTACTTTTGGTAATTCCGTTAATTCGGATTTTACTATTTTTAATGTTTTACTTTATTTATTTCCGAAAAAATAAATAATGTGATTATTATCTTCTTTAATATGTTTTAAAATTTAACATATTTAAATTTGGAAATATATATTAGAATCAAATCTTCCAAATCTCTAATCTTCTCTAATACGATTCATTTAATATTGTTTAATACGCTTCTCTTCCTCTATAAATAAGATGGATGTAAAATCATTCACCAAAATATATCTTTTTCTTCTGCCTCTCAAATTTTCTCCCCTGCCTCTTACTCCACCGCCCTCTGCCGTTGATGCCGCCACCGCTACTGTCATATCCTCTGTCGTCGCCGTCGCTATCGGAGTTATTAAGCTTGATATCCTTCTCTCCTTTCTTCTCTTTTATTTTTCTGATTCCTTTCTGTTTGAATAAAAACTTTAAACTCACGATATATATAGGCCAATTTCAACTATTGCATTGATTGATTTGGTTTGAACGATTTGGTTTGACAATTACAGCACCGGTGATGATTATAAGGAAGGTTCGATTTTTTCCCTCTCATTTTACACACGCACATAACGCGTAGGACAAGTACTAGTTAAAATAAAAGACCGGTACGCAAAAGTGTAGAATTCCCGAATTCTCTTATTGAGTGCTACTTATTATAGGGAAAAAAATTAAGAGTGATTGATACATTCCCTCATTCTAAAAGGCTTTATGAATAATGAGTGGCAGTGCTCTTGATATAGCCAGTTTGGCTCTCATCTTAGAAAACATGTACTTCAAGAATTAATTATTTTTTTGTATTGTCCTTTAGATTTTAATCAACCAATCATAAACACAAATTTATATACACAAACAAATTTACAAATTTTGAAGTAATAAATTGGCCTTGATACAGAAAACAAAAAATAAAATAAAAAAACCAAAAACTTAATTCCTGTGGTAACAATGAGTAGAGCATAATATTTCAATGAAGTGAAAAGAGGTGTCTCATTCCCATAAAATGAAGAAAGCTCAACACTTTACACACAACTAATCCCCCTTAGTCTCAGGGTTCGACCAGCCTTGATCTGCCTGAAGCTTCACAAATGCAGCTAAAAGTTTAATGTCATCTTCCTGTAACCTGGGACCGAAGGTGCATTGACCCCTCGGCGTACAATTCTCACCAAAACCCTGCAACATGAAGAGGATGATCTATAGTTTGTGCAAATGGAAGCTCTACTGAAGCAGTTTTAACTCTCATTATAAACTTACTGGCATTCTTCCCTTGCCGAAGTAAGTCAGCCGGTATATATCCTCTTCAGTGGCAACTCCATTTCTGCAAAATTGACGAACTATTTAATTCATGCTACCATTTACTGATGGTTGATAATTTCAAATCAAACTTGTACCCTGTAATAAAGAATGGCTGCCCCGAGAGGAACAGATAAATGGTTTACCAAAGAGTAGTGCCAGATTTGTGAACTTTTACTGTGAAATAACATTAAGGAATGACATTGCACAAATCATGATATTCAGAACGACCTTAACAATGTTTCATCTTTTAGGGAGTATCATTGGTGATTGTGTTTTTCACCTGTGCTGCATCATTACCAAAAACATTTTTGTACAAGAACCTGGAGAGTATCATTATTTTCTTTTGTTTCTAATGGTATATTGGTTTCCATCTTTCTCCTAATACCAGTTGCCTATCTCTTGACATGTTCTAAGTTCACAGATCTTCCCACACAATCATTTCAGGTGTCTTGCGCACTGCATGAGTATCGTTTCATTTAATTATTAACTGCAGAACAGGTTCATCAAATTAGCAGGGATAAAGTCATCTTTCTAGACTTGTATATCTTGATCAGAATAGGGGTCCTATATATTCAAATATGTTCATGTAGCGCTTGCCACGGAACACAGAAGAATAAATGGAGAATACAAATATAATGTACTCTGAATGGTGAAAAGAATAAATGGATAGTTACCTCTCAAGATCTTTCAGAAAAAGTGTTGCGCCCTAGCTCAGAACCACGTCAAAGAAGTTTAAGCTCAGCCTGATACTGTAGGGAGTTATAGGGAAATCAAGAAACTCATTTTTCGCTCACCGGTTGTATTATATTTCCACCGGCATCATGACATCCTATGCAAGCCTGATGAAACAGAGTTGTTCCTTTTTGTATATCTATTGTTTGCCCAAGTGAAACTGTAAGAAAATAAGAGAAGATATAAACAATTAAATGTTACTGTACATTTCGAAAGAAAAAGCAAAACCATATCATCACTCGATGAACTTTCGACCAACATCAGAAGATAATTCTTATTATAACAGTAATATTGATCATTCAAATTAACCTTCCCAAAATTCAGTTGTTTTCAGCATGTCTTCCAGCCAAGAACCTAGCAGGGCTCTAGTGTAACGTGAATATTTAGAGTATACAAATTAGTCTAATTCACAGAAAGAACAATAATACATGATTAAGAACTTGCTACAAGCACTAGGACATCGTAATGGGCCTATCATTCAAAAGAGAGTATAACTGTATAAGATTCACATGGCTGGATTGCTGTCTTGATTAAGGAACTATGTCCTAGTACTTCAAAAAGTAGTATAGTTAAACTGTAGTCAAATTTTTAACCTCATCTGAATTCTCTCATCAGGTTGGAAGAGACAAAAGGTAACTATAGAATTGCTCATGCAGCTAAAAGAAGCATGCAAAGGACTTAATTCTGTAGCAGAAGCATCCCCAAGGAAGTGATTCAACTTTCCAAAATACTACGGGAAAGCAATTCTTCTTTGTCCTAGCTTTTTGCGATGACTGTGAGAAGTCTAGTTTTTACCTTTCTAATTCTTGAGACACTTGAGTTGTCTCGGAGTAATATTCTTCACATTGTCAATGTCCTCATAACCTTTTCCATTGTTACTCCTGATCCATTTTGTATATGTTTGTCTATTGAAATTCTATCTGGATATTCAGGCAAAAAAGCATAGGGGATTATAGCACTTAACTAAACTTACCTTGTTTGCTTAGAATTTGAGTAAGAGGTTCCCCATTTCTTCATGATTTGTCAGAGAAAAACCACTAGCAACACGTTCAATTAAACTTCTGAATTCAAATACACCAAACCAGAGATAGCTTTAATTTCTGACAAACCATAGAATGCTAAATGCATCTTAATCCAAACACATTTTAGACAGTCACAATCTTTCCCTCCTCTGAGCTAAAGGAATCAGCAGAACCAGAGAAACAAGCAACCTAGTGAGGAAAGAAAAAGCAGTTCTCAAGAAGAAAATCACTCTGTGATAACTCTAGTATGCTTGTCAAGTACTTGCAGATTCGAAGGACGATCACCCTACGTAAACTAACTTATTTTGTAAGCGATCAGATACAAACTTAAGTACAACCTCTGACAAATCCAAAAACAATACCAGTTACACCTTTCATTCCTTAGCTCTAAAAGCTGTATCAAGGTATTGGAATAATTAGAAAAAAAATGCTGTTTGGTTAGAGGGTTTTACAAAAGGTTTTAGAATTTAGAATGCCTATTGATTTCATAAATCGACAAAACACACCAAATTAACTTGGTGAACAGTTTTACATTGATTTCATCTGTTGTTTTGTACTTTTCTAATCAAATAAATTACTACTCCCTTTGTCCCAAAATTATTGTCCACTTTGAAATTTCACTTTTAGTACAATTTGAACTAGAAATGAAAACCCAAACTGGACAATAATTATGGGACAGAGGGAGTACATGGATACGAGAAGCCAAACAGAAACACACTCTGAGCCACACTGATAACTACAGATCACCAATGCATGATGCAAATTGAAAATGCATTACATCACTTCACAGATCTCCACCAAAATCAAACAATTTTTTTTTTTTCCTTTTTGCAGCACTGGAGACCTTAAGGCATTAATTAGGTACCAAATCGGCCTAATAAATTTCGTTTTTATGAATTAATCTCATTTCACACATGTCAAACAAGTGCAAAAATAAAACAGGAAGAATCATTCCCAGAAAACACAGGAAGAAGCCATTGATTTGATATTGTTATATGCACTACTTGAACATGAAACCAAATGGGATGCTGAAAATTTAGAAAGATCAGAACTTTACTACTTGTACTGACCCGGAGGATGTAATACAGGAGAAATGGAGATGATTGCAGCCATGAGAGGTGGAGCCAAGGTCCTGAAGAAATTCACTCTCTGTTCTTTTGGTTTATGAGAGGCATAATTCTTCTTTCCACCACTCACATTCTGATTCAATTGAATTATCTTACAGTAACTTAATCAAGAACAAGAAAAAAAAAGGGAAACTAGAGACGGGAAGAGAGTTTCGGACCTCCTTAAAGAAAGTACAGCTTCTTCTCTGAAAACTGGGCTTCATGGAAAGAAGCTCCATATCTTCTTCCTCTTCTTCTTGCTCCTTTTTGCCCGCCAAGACGGAAGGGATAAGAAATGGTGTCAACCGTTGAAGCTTTTAGGTTCCGTCAAATTGTTGAATGACCGAATTAGCCCCTAACATTGGATTTTTTTACTTTCTTACGCCACAAAGGCCAAAAAATTCCGGAAAAGTTTATAATAAAGGAATCCATTAGGGCCACAGATGTAATTCCGGTTTAACTTTTTAACAAATAAAATAAATGAAATTCCATCATCAGTCGTTTCATTGGACAGCTCATTATCTTCATCCCCTTTCTTTATTTTAACCCCACTGCCACGGCTCTTCTCCCTCCTCCGCCTCCAACCACCGCGCCTCCGCCACCCGTCGAATTTATCGTCCCCCAATTGCCCTGTAAATAGACTGCACATAAAATTTCCCTTTGAATCGATTACACTGTAAAAATTCATTCAATTCAGTTGATAAAGTGCTATAGGGAGAAATATGGCTGCATTATTGGAAGAAATAGTTAAGTCCTTGGAGCTATGGCTGAGGTTGATCAAGAAAACCCCTCAGGAGTACGTGGACCCTACTCTTGATCCTGTTCTTTTAGTCCCTGGGGTTGCTGGCTCGATTCTCAACGCCGTCAATGAAAAAACCGGTAGAGAAGAACGGGTTTGGGTTCGGATTCTGGCTGCAGATCATGAATTTCGGACCAAGCTCTGGTCTCTCTTTGACCCGTCCACAGGTACTGCTGATTCTAGAATCTCTCTCTTTTTTTAAGTCGCCTGCAGGTTTCTGATTTCTTCAAGGAATTATTGTTTGTATTTTTTGTCGGTTACTTTTATTTTTTCGTTTATGAAGCTACATTATTTTTTTTTGTCTGATTGTAAAATTTGGGTTATAATTACTTCAAATGCTTGAACTTTTGGAAGAAAATGATGATTTTTGGATTCTGACACGGCCGGTTGTGATGGACGAATGAAAAACTAATCTGATTTGAGTTTGAGAACCCCAAACCGCTAACTTTTCCACCTGTCAGCTCTTCTCTAGGGTTTGAGAATCAAAGGTGGTTTGGATTTTTGACTGTGATTGAAATAAATAGACTTTAAATTCTAAATTGATGGTTTTGTTAATGTAATTGTTTGAATATCACAATGATTGATTGGTTCGGGGTTTTTTGCATGTATTCGGGCATAACTGAATGGAATGTGTTTCCTTGATGCAGGTGAAACCGTGTCCATCAACCCAAATTGGAAGGTTGAGGTTCCAGAGGATAGATTCGGGTTGTATGCCATCGATACATTGGATCCTGACATGGTAAATTGTGTTGAAGTTCATCTTATGTACCAAGCTCAATGTAGTCGTGGTCTTTGTATTGCCTGGTTATTTTCCCTTACCTATATGGCTTTAGTCAAATGTGATTTATTCCTATATTCTTGTTCGGCTTTGAAGGGTTTTACAAATTTTATGAGGTAATGTAAATGTAAATATGGAGGTGATAATGGGATGTACATTTGGAACTGATACTGTAGAAGACTAGAAGATGCATTTAAATGTATAGGTTATAAGACCAAAAGAATTTGGCTGCCATGATGAATCAATTTAGTTTAGCACATTGTACTTTTCTAGTTTCTCTTGTTCCCTGGACCTCCACTTTTGGGCTCGTTTGTCCTTGCTGGAAAGGATGCAAAGCTCATAGATATTAGAAATGGAATTATTTCATAAACAGGCGACATTGTGATCCTAATTTCTCATTTAGGTGAAAATAAGTGGAAAAATACTAGCCAGCACCCTGGGTTTACTTTCTCTGAATTCACATTCATAGTTACTATGTGATTTGTTATTATTATTACTGTAGTGAGTTATTTGAATCTGTTGCATCACTTCATCCTTGTTTTGATTGTAAAATGCATTTATTTGTTCCATGTAATGAAGTATTTCCTTTCATTTCTTTTGGATAAATAGTATTTACTTTCATTAATAAACTAATATTTGTTTTTATTTGGTTAGGTTATTGGGCGTGATACTGTCTATTATTTCCATGACATGATTGAGGAAATGCTCAAGTGGGGCTACAAGGAAGGAGAAACACTCTTTGGGTTTGGATATGATTTTCGCCAGAGTAACAGGTAGCTATTGGTTATGTTTTGATACCTACTCAATTGCTCATCGTTAAAGTTGTCCCATCATTCAGTTTTACGTCAAAATGTTTCTTTTTTTTAAACTCCGAATTTTTCCACACGTGTTTGGAGCATATGGTGGTCATCCTTCTCGATATTCTTTTAATCTACATCAAGAAGCTGCTTTCTATGGTTTAACTGATACAGATTTTACTTCATCGTCGGTAAACTAGAAAGGATGCGAACCTCTTGTGCAAGTTTAGATATGACAATTTACTCCACAGATGCCCCAGCTTTAGCTTATTTTAAAACTTGAACGCGCTCAGTGACAATTATAAATCTTGTGGTTGGAAAGAGTTGAAAGAGTTTTTTGGACCTTAATGATTGCTGGTTGGAGTTTGAATCAGCTGGTTAAATCATGTGGGTTTGTTAAGATGTTGAAGTCAATTTGGTCCCCTTTTTCTCTTCTCTTCTTAGTAGTTGCTAAAGAGATATCTTTTGACTCTTGGCAGTTATTTTTGTTTCTCTAACTTTTTAGGAATTTAGGCATTTTATTTTTCTTTTTGCTCATTGAAGAGATATTCTATCATGAAAGCTGAGAATTGCGGATCTATGCAGGTTTCGTGGGACGATGGAGCGTTTTGCTGCGAAGTTGGAGTCTGTATATAATGCATCCGGTGGCAAAAAGATAAATATTATAAGCCATTCCATGGGGGGACTTCTTGTAAAATGTTTCATGTCTTTGTACAGTGATGTAAATACTTTTTTCCCCTTGTTCTTTCTATTTTCTGCCATTTTCATTTGTTGTTTCATCTACGTTCATAAACCTACTACTTCTTACATTTTACTATCCTGCAGGTCTTTGAGAAGTATGTTAAGAATTGGATAGCCATAGCTGCACCTTTTAGGGGTAAGTGTGCTCATCTTATGTCCATATAATTGCTCCTGTACTGTAGTATACATTTTTGCTGAAGTCTGTCAATATTGCTAACAGTAGCTTCATTCAAGATCATATGTGGTTGATGATTAGAGAAAAAGTTGCATTTGTTCCGATGGGATGAGAAAATGAGAGAACTATGACTGATATGGTTTCAACTTGAGTGGAAGAGACCTTAAGATTCTGCTGTAGATTGGAGGGAAAGCATGTCATGAACACGGGGAAGGGGAAGGCCTAAAACTAATTATTGATATAGAAATGATCAATCTGAACTTATATGTAGATATGTCACAATGATGACATATGATTCTAAATTTGAGACTTGGTGGGATGGATGGATGCCGGGTTATTGCTGGTGGGATAAATGCTTGATTATTGTTTTTGGGACATTTTGAACTGATGTTACAATGATAAATTGCATAAATGACTGTTTTCTGCATGTTGCCTAATTACATATAAAAGATTATTTTCTTGCTTTCTTTTCATTTTCCTTGCTGAGTTTTCAAATTAGAAAACAATGTCTAATTAATTTCTACTTTTGACAGGTGCACCAGGATATGTTACATCCACATTGTTGAATGGGATGTCTTTCGTGGAAGGGTGGGAACAGAACTTTTTTATATCAAAATGGAGCATGCACCAATTGGTATGCCATCTGTTGGTTCTGACTATTCGCTTGTGTCTCTCTAGCTGAGCAGTCTATGAATTTTGTTTAAATTTATTCTTGTAGACTCTTTGATATAGTTTTGGCACTGTAGGAAGTCAGATTGGAAATTTGCATTCAGATGATTGATTGAAGAAATATTGTTCCTGAAATAAGTCTTTGCATAGATTAGCCTGATGTTTCAATTGCAGCACCTTTTACCAATCATAAAATAGAAGTGTCCACTACCTAGGAAAAGAAATTTTAAGTTTCTTCTCATGATTGATGTATGATTGGCAACTTCTTGTCTTTCAGCTGATTGAGTGTCCATCAATTTACGAACTGATGGCCTGCCCAGATTTTCATTGGGAAAGCCCCCCACTTCTAGAGGTTTGGAGGAAAAAAACAAGCAATTCCGGAGATGTTGATGTTATGTTGGAGTCCTTCTTGCCAATGGAAGCTGTATCAATATTTACAGAAGCTCTTGCATGCAACAAGGTTAGCATTATGACTTAGTTACCTGAATAAATTTTGAAGTGTTGGGATAAACAATAAAATTTACTTGTCACATGTGATACTTTGCTTATGGCTTTGTAAACAGTTTCAAATTTCTAGTGCTAAAGAGTGGTTGAATGTTTACGTTGCCTTGATAAGAAAATATTTCTCTTCAATTGGCATTCAGTGATTAGCCATCTAAAGAAACTAGATAGCTTAAAAATTTGGCTGTGTGCTTTCCATGGGCCCTGATGATCTGCTTTGGGTTCAGTGAAGGAATCTTGGTTTAAAGTTTTTATTTATTTTTTTCTTGTTTGCTTTGCAGGCTAGTTGTTGTGGCTTGAATATTCCTTTACCTTTCAATAAGGATATATTGAAATGGTCCAACGAGACACGAAAAATTTTGGGTGGTGCTAAGGTTCCGCCGAATGTTAAATTCTACAACATATATGGGACCAGTCTAAAGACACCTCATAGTGTTTGGTACTCTGACTCAATTTTTTCGATTATACTACCTCATACATGGAGATTATATTACAAAATCTAATTGTTGATTTCCTTATATGGCAGTTATGGAAGTCAGAATCAACCTATCTGTGATTTGAGGAAATTACCTCGCTATCTGGTAAAATTCCTCTTGTTTGAAAGTGATTTCATAAAATGTTTCAACATATTTCTACAAATGCAAGTTCATTCAGTGTTTTAAATATTCTGTGGCTGACGTGTATGTCCACTTCGTTCTCTGCACATTTGCAGGCAAATTATATGAATGTCGATGGTGATGGGACTGTTCCTGTGGAGTCTGCAAGGGTAAACTGTTCTTGTCTCATTCTGATGGTTATCATTCTGAAACTAATAGTTCAGTTATCAATCGTAATACAATCACTGTTTTTTCCTTGACGTGCTTTTCTGATCCTAGAAGCTGTGCTTTTGTTGGTTTAGCATTTGTACTACTTTTTTAATGCATTAAGGAGGGCTGGTACCTGGGTATGACAAACACACATTTTTGGAAACTTCCCTCATGATTGCTCATTGCTCTTCCCTGGTAGAGATTTCATAATTTGTTATAATAGACAATGAGCACTGCCTTAGAAACCTTTGGTTCCAAGATTGTGGAATACAACTGAGAGGCCTTAGAAAGGATCGAGCTATATGGTGATAATCTCACAACCATGTTGAAGCTTTATTTCTGACAGCGACTAATTTTTGGTAAAAATGATAATCCACATTGCAGGCTGATGGACTCAGTGCAGAAGCCAGGGTTGGAGTTCCAGGCGAGCATCGAGGAATACTCTCTGACCGCCATGTTTTTAGAATTCTGAAACATTGGCTGAAAGCAGATCATGATCCGTACTACAATCCTGTAAATGATTTTGTTATACTTCCAACTGCATTTGAGTTGGAAAAGCATCAGCAGAAAGGTTTGGAAGTAACTTCCCTGAAAGAGGAATGGGAAGTCATTGCAGACGACGCAGATGAGCAGGATAAACAGCCTTTGATGGGTTCAATATCTGTTTCCCGTGTTGGAGGCAACGAGGGTTTGCAGGAAGAAGCTTGTGCCACCATTGTGGTTCACCCTCATCTAGATGGTAAGAAGAAGCATGTCGAACTTAGTGCCGTGTCAGTCTCAGCGAATGCTTAGAGTTGCTGGCTGCTTCAATGTAAATATACACTCAGATTTGTTTGTTCCCAAAGACTTTACTGGGTTTGATGTCTTATTTATCAAGAGTTCCATACTCTTGCCAACCCACTGGGAAAAAACAAACAGAAAAGTAAATCAGTAAGGTTGGTGCATTACTCTGTAAATATGCTGCTCCCGACCCCAAAGTGGGGAAATTTATGTACATATTGTTTGCTTTCGGTTGTAAATTTACGGTATCTGAAATAAGTATCCGAGAGTTGTGTCTATCTTTTAAACTTTATTCAATATGTAAGACTATTAGTTTGAATCGAATAAATTGTTTCACCACTAAGTACACTTCAACCAAATGGGAAAGGAACGGGCCGTTCTAAATCGTCGCGCGAGGGAAAAATGGAAGTGATGCAGTCATTGTGGAGTTGTTCGAATGGTAGTCCATTCGCCCGATTGTTACATCGGAAAACAAAGTCAACACAAGTAGAAACCCGCAGCATTTTTGCGACAGTGGTGATGTTTCTGATGGTAATGCGGGGATTCCGGTTGATCGGAATGGCAGTTTGCCGAAAGCAATAATTATCCTTTCCTTTTGATTCCCATAAAATATGTCGCTCCAGTAACTTTTCTGTCTAAAAGATGAAAATCTCACTGGATCAGGAAGTAACCAACCTTCAGGTCGACGATTGATGATGCAGCAGCACACACGGATTTCTATCTTGAAAGTTGGTTAGACGATGCCACACTCATGTGAAAAATGTTTTCGGGTTGATATAAACTTCCAATCGCTAGAGGACCTTTTGATAATTGACTTGCGATTTCGGGATGCTTTTAATATTTGTTTTAAACAGTAAATGGTGTTCTAGATAATCAATTAAATCTCATGATGTTATTAACATTAACACTAAAAAGAATAACAAGAACATCATTTTGTTTTTTAAAAAAATAACAAAAATACGAAAAGGTCTACACATACATGATGAACTGAACATAACGAGATTCCAAACAAAGAAAAGTTCAAATCCACCAGCTACAAGGATATATACTAGCGTCTCCTTACACTTATCCCAATTCAAATAAGGTGGCGGATCTCGAGAACTTTATACGTACATTCAAAACTATATCAACAGAGAGCACAATAATAACAATGATTTTGATTTTCACTGAGGAACACGCAGGTAAAGTGGGATAGGGTTTGGAGCATTTGGGGGAGCATCCCAAACTGAGAAGGCGCTGCTTGAATTCATCCATCTCTTGGTCATCTCTGGATAGTGTCGATCCAACACATCTTTTAGGCTCTCAGTTGTGTTCACCCATTCCAACCCTTTCTTTGTGTATGTTTCCTCATTGAAGCTGCTTGTAAAGAACCTATCTGCCTCAAGCCTCCTGAAAAATAAATTTTTTTAAAAAAAACACCATCAAATCCCAATTTCCATTAAGAAAGACAGGATATTGTGTTTTTTTTTTTTTCCGTTTTCGTTATAAATACCGTTACAGTTTATTAATAGTAAAAGTCAAAATAGAAACCGAATACTCCCCCGTTTCAAAATTATTGCCCAGTTTAAGTTTTCAACTTTACTACAAATTGAACTAAAAGTGAAAATCTAAACTGGACAATAATTTTTGAGATTCAGGGGTACAAGATTTCTGTGGTTTGGTCAACGTGAATATGTTCATAGGGAAACAAATATTCAAATCTAAAAATTTTCCGAAATTAAACAAGGGAACGTGTACCTTGATGCCATGATAGTGAAAATGATGAAAGCAGTCTCGCTGATAGCAAATCCTTTGATTTTCTTCTCGGCCATGAGCCCAACCAGGAGGTCCAGCTGCTCCACGTCATTACCATACACTTCTTTCAGAGTTTTGACTGCTTCTTTATCATCCGTAAGATCTTCCCATTTGGAAATGGGTAGTAAAAATAAGGCTCTCCTAAAAGCATTGTATCTTGCCACATTCCTTTCCCTGTCCCTATAAACTGTATATATACATATAGGACGCAACCAATAAAGAAAATTAATTAGCTATTAGACATTGTTTTTGTTAAGATCAATGATATTGCTACTCAATTGACAGTAACACTTTTTTTTTTGGCACTATAATTAAATTAAATGATGGATGAAATACTTACTCTCAAGGGCAGCGAGGTCAACGTGATCGGGTCTCTCTTTGCCGTCGATATCTTGAGCAACAAGATCCCTAAGCCATTCGGGATAGTTCCAGAGCTCAAGGGCTCCACATGCTTGATGACCCATTGACACTATTTGTTTTGTGAATCCGATTTCAGATAGGGTTTTCTCTCCAGGTATCCCGATCAAATCAGATATTGGAACTCTGCAAATTGACAAATTAAAAAAAAAACTCAACGTTAGTTTACTGTCCAAACTCATCGAGTGATAATCCGATCGTGTTCCATGTTTGACAATTCAAATTGACAACTTCTAAGTAAGATGTAAGATATAACATTTTTTTTAGTAGATGACATAATAGGAGTAAATTATTAAAATGAGATGGATGGAATAAAATAAAAAAAGAAAAAGTGACGTACTCTTTGGATACAGGTGGCGATTTGTTTGGGCCAGGAGCAACATTAGTGTCCCTGAGGAGAAGGTTATCAGGTAGTAAGGAGTGCATTCGGTAAACGCTCACAAATTCTTCAGTCAAGGAGTAAGGAACACCATGATTTTCAGGCTTCTTCATGCCAACAAGACCGCTCAAGACGGGTCCAAAAACGTGTCCAAAAGTATCCTTGAACCTCTTTCCCAACAGCCCATACCTGTAGATCAATAATCATCAAAATATATCGTCCATTCTTTTACATGACTTATTTTTAAGTAGCGTTACAGTTATAAACATTAAAAAGAGTAAAATCGAAACTAGATGAAAAATATCATTTACGCAAAGTTCTGAAATTGTTACACCAAAAGTGATACAAAAGATTAATCAAAGCAATGTAATCTTATAAATGAAGAGTAATCTATAATGAGGGTAGGATAAATTTACCAATTGGCTCGCATTCCTGCGTATAAAGTATCCATTTTGAGGAGCTCAACAGTCCAATCAATGGTGTGGATTTTGGCAATAACAGCCGCGGTCACCAACCTTGCGTGACGATACAATTCCTCGTCACTAAGATCTCTATGTTCCTTCTGAAATAAAGAACGCCAACTCTAAGAAATCAATCCCCAAGTTCTGTTTAATTAATTACAAGGCCAATTTAATGATTTTGGAATTCAATATTACTTCTCCTAGTAGTAAGCATTTCAGGGTAAAATAGTATAATCATTTGCATGTCTCTTACCATTTTGAAAATATGCATTAGGATAAAATCATGCACTTGTTCTCTAGAGAATTGTAAATGACATACTAACTTGCGACCATTCAATGCGCGATAACACATGCCACTTTGTCTTTAAATATAAATCACGTTTATTGAACTATTGTAACTAAAACTGTAATTCTCAGGTCACGCAAATAATGTAAAAGCAATCGAAATCGACGAAATGCAACTATATACGTGAAAAGCAAGCAACGGCCGACCGAAAGTTTGATTATAAATGTGTCCATACAACATAAATTTATGTTGATGTCATAGCAATTATTTTCAAGAGTAATTTGACTGATAAGGTGATTCAGCTTTCTGTAATTTAAAAGGAAAATAAACCCAAATGCATGTAATTTGTTTGAGGAGAAGTCAGTTTTCACCGAAAAAAAGAAAAGCCAAATGCTGAATTGAGTGAATTGTATATTTTTTCCACCCGAATAGTTTTCAATCTTTTTTTTTTTATTTTTTTAAATAATTTTCACTTAAATGCGTACGAACAAACAGAACTTTTATTTTGGACGTAAAATGAAGTAAAATTAAAATACCTTCAAAGCATCGCAGACAGCATTGTGCTCCATGACGAAGAGTGCTTGCAGCGTCGAAACTCCAGCCCAGCTGTTGCGAACGTCGCCGGAGATGAGCCGGCCGTCGCTTTCATGAGGAAGAAGTCCATCTGACGATATCTTCAGCTTCCCATCCTTATATGTCCTCACTTTTTGCAAGGTTTTCTCATCACTCCCGTATATTGAACTTCCATCCCTACACCAACAGAATCCGTACATCTTTTTAATTTATTGATGTTAAAAAAAGGACAAAAAAAATAAAAGAAGAAGAAGAAGAAGAAAATACAATTTGTATTAAATTCTAAGTTCTATTTACTATTGTGCGATCGACTTTGTCTCTAAGAATATATGTGCGTGTACTTTTAATTCATCGTGACAGATAGTGATAGACAATATGAGGTCGATCAGTTCATATTTCCTGCAATAACAATAATAATAATAATAATAATAATAATAATAATAATAATGATGATGATGATGATGTTGTGTGAAAGTTATCTAAAAACAAATGTCGCCTCAATAAATACGTATGAAAGATATCCAATGTATCACTAGTATTTTGGAAACCATCAACCCCTTTGTCTCAAAAACCTTTTTTTTTTTTTTTATAAACAAAGCCACCTTATAACTTGTATTTATAAAATATAATTAGGATAATTTTTCTAAGAAGAAGAGACTGAGAAAGTACATATAATAATAATCAAAATTGAAAACGACATTCTTGATAAAACTCAACTTTAACTGCTCTGAGTAAATTATAAAAGAGATTAAGAGACAAGTTGATACTACGTACTAACGAAGAAAGATAGGGCAAAAAAATTTAAAACCAGATATTGGGGGTAGTTCACTCGACAAGTATGTGGCGACATCAACTGGGATCTTTGATAATGACTTTGCATTAAAAAGTCATTAATCTAATCTAATTGGAAAGTGACTACTTTTTTTAATGGAAATTTTGTAAATTAATCAAGGCAAATGGTTACAAATGTCAAACATTATATTGCATACTTCGCCCAGTTTTATCTGACCAAAGATGCAGACCTTTTACCTTCTTCTTTGTTGATCCTTTTCCCTCAAGAAAAATGAAATCATTGATTAAATATTCCATTTTTTAATTTCTTTTAACTTACCTTCATTAAATTTTTATACTTATAATTACTAAAATATTTGAGAGTGTATAATTATTGAAGGAAAACAAATAAAAATGAAAATACGTAGTTCTTACCACCAGGGTGTTCGGCGGTTCAGATGACCGGTTTTAATGTCGTAAAAACCTGTGGGAACTTCTTTTGTCTTGTAAAACTTGAATGATTTTAGAGGGCATTGACTTGCAACTTCAGCTGGAGCAGTGAGCTCAATCTGCCAGTACGATTTTCATTTCTTTTAATCGTGTATTTGAACTAATTAAATTATCTTGAATTTAAATTTTAATATACGTATATGTAACATTCTCCTTTAATTATATACCGGTTAGGGGAACAAAAAACAGAAACTAATCATATATAAAGTATATAGACCTGCTGGGTATCTTCTAGATGATCAATCCAATCGTGAATCATGAACTGAATCCAAGAAGCAGCGATCATGTTGAATTGCTTTCCGGTGTCAATCAGCTTTCTACGAGCCAAAAGTTTTGTAGCTACCACCATTGGATCTGGCTTCAGCAGCTGCACGTATACAATACAACGCAGAGTAAGAAATTTTGGTGATCAAATAGTATTCTTTCATTTCCGTTTTATCAGTCTACTTTATTATACTCTTTCTGTCCCAAAATTATTATCTAGTTTGAGATTTCATTTTTAATACAATTTGAACTAGAAATGAAAACTCAAACTGGACAATAATTATAGGACGGAAGGAGTACTTCTTTCGTCCCAAAATAATTGTTAGGTTTTGAATTTTTGCATTAGTGTAATACGTACTAGAAATGAATGGAGTATGAATATCAAAAGTAGAGCATTGAAGTAGACTGAATGAATATTAAATTTTGAAGTAAAGAACACGCACAAACGAAAGTTCGAAATTCTCAAATTCTCCGAAGAATTTTCTTAATTCGATGACCAAAAGAATGCACTTAGTATAATTTTCTAGTTATTGTCTTCATAAAAAATTTTTAAAAAAAAATGTAAGCCGCCCTCATGTTGCACGACAATTTGGATCATCTCATCTGGATTCAACATAGCGTATCAGATACATTAACAAAGTCCGGAATTAAATATTGTGGTAAATATTTTTTGACTAAGTACCATTAATATGTCATCAATTTAAAAAACCAAAGGGAAAAAAAATTACAGGAAAAGGACTCAATCCCAAAGAAAAAAATTTAACATTAGTATTTTTTTTGTCGAAATTACGTACTGTACGTCACCCAGAATACTACACTATATGTTATATATATCGAGATTACGTGGCAATAATATAAAGCTAGCATTAATACTTTTAACTTACACAAAATAAATATAACAAAATTTATTTTTTGTTATTATATATATTCGAGAAGCTATGATACTGATATAAAATCAACTTTGTGGTATTTTATCCCTCTTACGAAACACTACTAAACTCACCATTAACATATTTTCTGCAATACCAAACCACAAGGGTTCACCTATGCGAGTCAATATGTATATGTTTAATTGTATCTACAAAAACTGTTAGTTTGGGGGGTAAGTGAAGTAAATGTGTGGATTGCTTTTTGGTAAGGTCAGACATTCTTTGGCATAACTTTAACTTATGTTAGAGCGTGGAATTGAATTTATTCAAAACTTCCTCTAAAAAGAAAATAATAATTTTATTACTGAAACAATGTATCTTATGTTGATTGTTATCATCACGAGATCGAAAATCAAGATATTAATCTAAAGAAAAAAAAATTTACCGTTCTGAAAATGATGGGAAACTACTCTCCTTCAAACAAGATGATGTGGTTAATTTTGAGTTATTAATTTATTTGAAGTGTTTTTTTTTGAAAACCACTTGATGATAAAAGTCCATTGTAAAAGTCTTATTCTAATAGAGTTCCAACTGCCAATATTGACCTTTACTTCGTACGTATCCCTTTTATTCTTCCCGCATGCGTACCCCTTGCATGACTCTTACTCTTTGATCTTTAATTTACTTTTTACTTTGAATTCAGATATCATTCTAGTTAATTACTCCCTCTTTCTTTTCCTTTTGTTTTGGTAAATGTAAAAATATATATTTATTATTTTTATTCTCCGAGATTTCTAGTTAAAATTATATACAAGTAACTTTTATCTTTTATTATTCTCTCACAAACTTTTTTTTTTCAATTAAACTCAATAATTGTCAACCCTTTTTCCTAGATTTAGATTAGGGAACAATTCAAACCATTATTTTCTACATTCCAGAGAGTTACAGTGGTAATCATTACTCATGAACGCTAGAAGAGAGAGACGTATTCTCAACATTTCAGGATTTTAAAATAATTAACTAAATAAATGAGAAAATAAGACGCAATTTTTTTCTGATTAATTTTGTTCTTGAACTTGATTTCAGGATTTTAAAATAATTAACTAAATAAATGAGAAAATAAGACGCAATTTTTTTCTGATTAATTTTGTTCTTCAACTTGATTCAAAAACTTTATTGATGTCATAAATTTTTTTTAATTTTTTACCTTAGAACGCTGATCAACTGGAAGAATGTTCCTGCCAAAGAAAGAATCTTCACTGCCGGCACCTTCGTTGAAGGGATCATTGTATTCTCCATTTGCGGTTCTGTAAGGGAAATCAACCGGGTTGAACCGAACGCCGGCCGGAGTTTTTCCGACGTTGAACAAATTGTACTGCTGATGCAGGTGCCGGCGAATCGCTAAGTAGAAAAGTCCCAAGAACACCGGCAAACGATGCCACAAAATCCCTAGCCTATCCGCCGTGTGAATGATCTGCATGCATTTAGGGAAAAAAAAAAAGCAATAAAAAGTATTAGGGCTCTAACCAAAAAACTCATTAGAAAATTGTAGCAACAAGAATATAGGAAAAAAAAAAGGGAAAAATCAATCAAGCTTATATTTCTTTTTTCATTGTGAACATGGTACACTGTAGACGACATCGAAAATTTTATAAGTATACATATATATATATATATATATATATATATATCAGCGGTATCATATGAAATATCGTAAATAAAAGATCGATAGATAGGAATAATTTACGAGAAAAAGAAATTTGTCGATGAAAGACATCCTGGATACGACTTCATGGAAATCGTCATGGATCAAGGAGTTGAGCAATGGTGGATGGAAGAAAGACTTAAGATGACCTAGAAAGGAAGCCATTTTTTGGGGTGATATAGAGAGCTAATAGCAAGAAAATGGAAATGGAAAGTTGAAAGTTAAGGGGTACAAGAAAATGGGTTTCGAAAAGGGCCTATTTATGCACAAACCAAAAGGTGATCATTATCTACGAAATGTGGTGCATGAATGGAATGAAAGGGTAAAATACTTTTCCACGTTTCTTTTTCTTTTTGGTTTTCCCCCTAATATAATATATAAAATATTGTTTGGTGGGAGCTAGTAATAGTTATGACTCACGACAAATCAAAATCCGAAGTCAGAATTTTGTTTTCATCTTCGTACGCGTGGAATCGTGAATTCCTCCATTCGAGACACGCTTGAAATATTTGGTTTCTTAGTGTTTTTTGTTCTTTTCTTTGATTATGATTTACGGAGTAACTCTCCCAAATTCGCAATCCCCATTATATGATGTTGATATTGGATAATCTATAGTAACTCGGTAAAATCAATCACACTCCCTTTGCTTCCTTATCATACATTTTGTTTTATAAAGATTTTCTTAAAGTAAATTAAATATTCGATGAAAGAAATTATTATCCAATTCGAATTAGATAAATAAAACTTGTTTTTACATCGAAGAGTTATACGTACCTTCAGAAATCACGAGTCAGGCACGTCTTATAAGTTATAAATCAAAATTGCTTTTCATCCATCCACTTGTATAATTTAATTGAAATCTGTTTAAGGTTAAGTAATTGACCTAATTAATTAATTTAATTACCATTGATTACAAACTCGCACTCAACTTTCCAGGGTTCCAGAGATCTAGCTAAACCTATCACAACTAGCTAGTCTCTTGCGTCTTTAAATAACCAGTTCAATCCCGAAAACAAATCTACATAATAAGCCAAAGTTGAAAGAATGCTCATTCGTGAAAAATAAATAAATAAAATAATTAAAGAAAGAAGAAAGAATGCTCATTCGTTCCCTTTCCTTAATTAACTTCCACCTTCATTCCTTGTCGTTGACAATATTAGAATTGATAGAAAAAGTGAAAAACCACTGTTTTAGGTAAAACTTTAGTAGGAAATCACGTTTCATGTGTAAAGTAATTAAATTCGAGTGCGTCTCAGTACCAACTCTCATCCCCTCAATATCAGTCTTAGCCATAAAGACATATAGCTATTTCTTTTTTCATTTTGTTCTATTTTACAGGTCATCTGTTGTATTTTTTTTTTTATACACAATTACAAATATCTAGTATATTACATGTGGAGTAAAGCCTATGTGAAAAAGGGTAATACTACTAAGGGGAAACTCCACATGCGCACACATCGATCTGGTACTCAAAAAGCCTTCCTGACGGATGCAACATAACAAGCACAACTCAACACATAAGATAACATTTATTGCATTTTAACACCCAAGATTTGCTAATTTACTTCGTACACGATCCTCTCTTCTCTCAAACCCTAAAACTAAATTTGGGGTTGTTCCTACACCGTAGAGGAAGATGAAAGAACGTAATCCTACTATGTACAGCTGTAAAGTTCTTGGTTTTCTTACTTGTTTCAGTTATGTCGTTGCCGTCATGATGTACATATGGTCTTAATTACTCTCCGTCTTATAAGAAATAATTACTAATAAAAAAAATTTGTGAATCTTCAAAATAAGATGGAGATTTTATTTTATTTTTCTTTCCCAAAATCATTCTCATCAAAAAAAAATTAGAGGATTATTTGAGTACTAGTTTTCATTTCGCTGGTACATCCCACCAAGCATAATTATTGCACCTTTTTTCTTTTGCTTTTCTCCGGAGAATGGAAAATTCCTATCAAGAAAAATAGCCAGCTTCGTACGTACGTCCAAAAATGGAAAGATCAAAATCATTGACTGATAAAATCAAGCAATTGCCCGGGAAAAAAAAAACTAGTCGATGAAAAGTGTTGATAGGATATTTTCATGTCATAGTCAAGTTATGCTATTTTGCACTCTCACATTCTTAGGGAAAAAAATATCTAGTTAAATAGGATAATAATTAAGTACTCCCTCTGTCCCAAAATTATTGTCCAGTTTGAGATTTTATTTTTAGTACAATTTGAACTAGAAATAAAAATACAAACTGGATAATAATTATGGGAAGGAGGGAGTAACTTTTTAATCCAAACTGTATGAGTATATTTTTAAGTAGGATAATAATTAACTAAATCAAATGATGCAAGTTGCCGAACGCATTATGTTGTTATATGAAATAACAAGATAAATGAATAGACCTCATTATAAATTCCTCTCAAAATATTCAGCTGTATAAAAGAAAAAAAAAACAAACAAACAAGTGAATGAACGAACAAACAAATACACAGATGTGACACCGACACTACAAGTACATACGTACAAAATTCCTTTTTGGTGCATAGTTCGTAATAATGTGGGTGGTCATTCTTTACTCCATTTGACAAAGGCATCCAATCAAGATGGCAACCCTATTCTCACTGGAAGGTGAATCACTCGCTCTAAAGTAGAGTTTTTTACCTACATAATTTTCAATCTAAGGACCTGAACAAAAATATATATTTTGAAGTAGTGTGGATAAATCTAGTTGTCTCAGATTTGCCAAATCTGAATCTATCCATTTTGTACTAGATTCTAATTTGACAAATCCGAATTTACTTGTATTACAACTATGTGATGAATCAATTTTATTGGGTTGATTCGGATTTGCCAAATCCGAATCTAGTACAAAATGAATAGATTCGGATTTGACAAATCCGAAACAACTAGTTTTGTCCACCAAAAATAGAAAAAGTTATTTTTGTCCACATCTTTTTTTTGAAAATTCTTTTGGCCGAAGCAAGTATGATGTCTTAATTATTTTTTTATGCATCAAAAGAAAAATATAGTTTATTAAATTTTTAATGTAAATTTTAAAATTTAAAATTCAACATGGACTATTGTACAAATGTAGGATATAAATGCTTAGCTTAAACAAACTTAGTTGGCTAGCTCTGGTTTTCTAAACCCTAAAAATAAAAATGCAAACTAGACCATTAATGATGTATTTCAGGACGGATAAAACTGTACTGTAATTTTTATGGTTATTTTTTTAAGTTTTTGCATGTGAGGAGGCTTATTTTTTTTTTTTTACCTGAGAAATTTATAGATAACCAGAAATATTTTTCAGGGCAGTGCATAAGACTTACCCTGTACAAGAAACCGTCAAAAAAGACAGATATAAATATCAATAAATATACTGATACTTTCAAAAGAGATTTAATTGCACCTATACAAAATTATGTCTAATGTCTGGTATTTTACGGACTTTTCAGAACTATTTTCCTAATAACTCAATAAAGAAAAATTATAGGCTAAATTTCCTGTCATCATCATTCGCTTCTTTCGGATCACAGATCTGAACTGTCGCGTTTAGTGAGCATATGGAAAATCCAAATCTATGAGTGATATAATTTCAAAAAGAGTCACTAAAATATAATTAATCCGAATTCGAACCTGAACCAAACATATGAAATAACCGTATAAACCAATTTAGTTTGTTTGTAAACCAGACCGACGAACCGATATGTACCGGCTCACCGGGTATTGAGGACCGATAGACCGGTTTCTGAGAGTTGGGCGACGAAGCGGCTGTATAACAGGGAGCCGGAGGTCCGGCTTTGGATGACCGGCAAAACTGGTTTGTTGGTGTGACGACTGTGATGGCTGCCGACTTGCAGCAGCAGACGGTGGACCTCCGTAGCGTCGAACTTCTCGCCGACACTCAGATCTGAGACATCAAAGTCTTGATCTGTATTTGTCAAGACAGAATGGGGGGCGGCCGGATGCGTTAAGCCTAGGCACGGCAACTGCTTATGCGGGAGATCGAGGTGGTAGGAAGAGGAGCGTTCTGGCGACGGCAGTAGAATCAGATGTGAGTAACAACTCAGATTGTGGCAGTCAACATTGCCAGGCGGCTAATCCACGGCCAATGATCCCAGGACAGCGCCTGATCTGCATCAGCAACGGCTGTTCTTCGATGGTTCGTCTGGAGCCGGTTGCCGGATCAATTGGTGGCCGTTACTTTGGTTTTATTTAAGCAAAGAAGAAAAAAACATAAAATAAAAGAGAAATTTGACTCCAATGGTGGTTGGAGAGGAGGAAGGTGTTATTATGAGGTGGTGGCTGGAAGAAAGGGAGAAGAAAGGTGTATCTATTTTTTTTTTTTTCTGTTTTTTCATGTGAGGAGGCTTAATTAACCTATAACCTATAACTTTACATTGATCTCCATCCATCCAGCACTCGTCATATTAATTTATGGAGGTAATACATTTCTAACAATTTTTTTTATTTCATTACAGGTTATCCATCGTCGATAATAGTCAATTAATAATAATATTGAAATGAGTTTTGTTATAATTACTAACAAAAACTGAACGCTAAATCAACAATCATGTTGTACAGTCAATTTCCTTTTAGAAACATGGCATGAAGTTTAAAGTTCGTTTTTCCTTTCTTGAGGTAGTGACAAGTTATAATGAAACCTAAAATCATTGAAATTAAACACTAAACCCATATCTTACAAAGATAGAAAGGAAAAAGAAAGAAAGGTTGAAAAAATTCTTCGACAGAAAGGATTGTCGCGTGGCATTCCATTTCAACAGTGACCATCATCACCGGTTTACTCGTACGATATGGCGACCATATAGTAAGGTCGTTATCAAACCCTAATCAATTCTCCATTCTTCTTGATAAATGGATGAGGTTTACATGATAAATTATTATTTTCTTTTTCGGCATAATTTGTGAAAATTAATTACCACACGATCGAATTATACATGAATTTGAAAAACAAAATGACAGGTATGATAATCTTATCTCTTGAAATGATTCCATGACGTGCGAAAATATTATTTAAAAAAGAAAAAAATACCAGCTTCGTCATTTACTTGAAGGTGAATCCAAACATCTGATTACCGTGAAAGTTGATTTTATGGAATGAGGATATTTGGTTCTTCTGACTGTGTAAACGTTCAATTTGCTTGTAGATGATCAATAATATGATGTGTACTATCTTGAGTCTTGGTCTTTACTAAATTACAATACCATATTCTAGGAGAATTTTACTTGTGAACGAGTCTTATGTTTTATACGAGACTTTTCTTTGTGACTACATATATTCGCTGTATTACATGTCATTTTCCAATTTATATTGCTCCTCTCAAAGTGTGAATTTAACTCGCGTCGTTGAATTTTCGCACTTCTCAAAATTTATTCACTAATAATCATTCCATCCAATAAACATCAATATTACTCGTCTTTTAAGGGGAAAAAAATCTCATACTCCTTCTGTCCCAAAATTATTGTCCAGTTTAGAATTTCATTTCTAGTTCAAATTGTATTGAAATTAAAAATGCAAACTGGACAATAATTTTGGGATGGGAGAAGTATGTAATATATATTCTTTTAATTTACTAAATTAGACTCATTAGAAGTGACTGATCATCATATACTGTTTAATTAAATTCGATTAATTAAGTATAATGTCGATTTATGTCGTACAACTAGTGTTAATAAATATTTAGCTTGGGTCATCAAAGTTTATTCCAAGACGCCGGCTAAAGATACATCCCACGATGCATAAATAATTCGTAAATGTTTTATTTGTTTTGAATAGTTTAGCACTTTTCTAGAACGGAAAATTCCGCCACTGACCGAACTATAGAGCGCGTCCTCGATACAAATTCAAATTTGACAAATCAAAGCCATCTTTAACTGATGAATTTTGAGCAAAAAGCAAATGAGTAACGGTTTGTAATTTATATATATATATAAAATATTTCGTCTCATGAAAATAATCGACATTGTAGATGACAATTTGCGATAATTGATCAAATCACCTTTTAAACCTTGAATACTACACTACTAAGGTTCATTAAGTTACATCTTTACTCAAAAAGAACAACTGAAAATTTTTTTAAAAAAATACTAATAATATTAAGGAATCAATGTGGGGGTGCAAAAAATTAATTAACACATAGTTTCTATTAAAACTTTAGGATATTTCTACTAAGTACAAAAAATTGAGCAAGTACGACCGCGCCCGGTCCATTTAAAAGAAGGGAAAAAAGAACAGCAAAAAAAAGGTCCCTCTTTGTCTCTAATAACGATCACAATAATTCCTTCTTTCCATTATTGGACAAGGCTGCATGCAGCAAAAAATTTTCTTAAAAATACACATACATTAAAAAAAAAAAATATGCATGTCAGATACATATAACTGGAGAGTATCTCAAAACTTTGTGATCCTCATCCGTCTCACCGACGGTAGGTAGATTACTTCCAATTCTCAAATTATAATCTTCAAATTAAAATTCGTAAAGATGATACAGACTGAGTAAATATAATTTGCGCAATGGATTTTAGTTTTACCTTAATTCGCAGCTTGTAACGTATGACTATATTAATATTGTGTATGACAATGGTGTTATCGGGACAACATAAATACTCCTCCATCCCAAAAACATAATTTACATTGAGTTTTGAATTTTGTACTATTTTTAGTACAAATTTGAAACTCAATATGGACTACTTTTTTTGGGACGGAGATAGTATAATAATATACACTAGTTGTCAAGTGTGAATCTCTTTTATTGTAAAAAAATAAAAATAAAAGATTGAGTATGCATATATATTTTTTTATTCAAAAATAAAATAAAAAAAAATTGAGGGGGGGGGGGGGTGGGAAAGAAATAACATTCTTGAAAGATAGGGTTTCTGTCCAAGGCGATAGATAGGGTTTTATTATTTTCAGACAAGAAAATCGATAAGCAGCCGAGCAATTAGCACCACACAAACCATGCAGGTGATGACAATTATGAAACTTGTTTGCAATTATTTTGTCTTCTAATAATCTTTTAAAGGCTCCACTTACACTGTATCAGAGACACGTGATTGAAAAAACAAAACGAAAGTCGTCGAAGAAGAGACGAATACTGAAGCTTCACATGCTGAATAGAAGTATCGAATAAAATCAGCAACAAATTAAACTGCCTCCAAAAATTTCCATTGTGTTATGAATCATTGAGGTGATTGGCAAAATTAATGCGCAACAAACGTTTATCTCTTTCTGCACCAATTTGGACTTTTAAGCTCTCTAATTAAAGTGTATCAAAATTTTCGGAAATGCCATTTTTAATTGGCTACAAATAGAGGAGGAAATGAAATATATGATGTATGAGATGCACCAAGATATATCAAAAGCAAAGCCTTCTACTATTATAATATTTAAAATATTAATAAGCTATACTATTAAAGTCTCTAGTAAAAAAGCTAAATATATCATCTACTAAATAAATAATTTATTATTACTTCTATTTGGATCATTATTCTTAGACCTTAGTTTTAAGAGAAGTTATCACCAATACGTCTCTACAACCTGCAAAGGTATAAATTTTTCTTATTTAGTATTTACTTTTCATATGGTTGTTTCTATAAAACCTCCTAATTCAATTTTTTTTTTGAAGAAAAAGATTTATAATATATTAAAGACAAGAGTTACATCAGGCGGACAAACGGAGAGTTGCTTTTGCTAACATATGTACCGCTTCTACATTGTCTCTTGGAACTTTTCTAACTATTACATTAGATATTAAGGAGAGAAGCAAGAAGATCTCATCGAAAAGCAGCTCTAGGAGTAAAGGACATGTTCTCCTGCCGTGTGTTGTGTCCACCATTATTTGACTATCCGTCTGTAGTTGGCAGTTTGTAATCCCCATGTGCCTTGCTTGGACTAAGCCTGCTAGACAGGCGCGGGCTTCTGACATCTCGGCTGAGCTCACTGCGTAAGTTTCTGACCCGCAGATAATCAATTGCCCCTGTGCAGACAAGATTCCCAAGCTCCTACTCCCTTGAATTCGCTCTCTTGATAAGCTCCATCTTTTCTGATCAGAAATTGATGTTCTTGATCGTCCGACATGTCTGGGGCTGACTCCCAGCGATCTTTTTCGGCCAAATCTATCCTTTGTCTTTGAGATACGAAAGAACAACTTCCATTCAGCCATCGCCTGTCGCTTAGTAAGGATAGGATCTAATAATTGTGCTTCATAGATCACCTTGTTTCTTGCGATCCAAATTTTCCAAATTAGGAAACAAGATAGTTGTAATAGGGATCTTTCTGGGGCCCGATTGAACCAATCCTCGAACCAGTCCACTTGAGGAACCCTTTGTCCACAACTAAAATCAAACCCCAGTGGAGAACTACGCCACACTCATTGCGAGTGATCACAATCGAAGAAAATGTGTTGCGTATTTTCTTGGTATTTGTCACATGGGGCACAGAGTGTGGGAATCTGAAGGCTTCGTTTAACCATTGCCATGCTCGAAGGCACAACATGGTTAAGTAGCCTCCATAGGAACCACCGGATCTTTGGCGGAAGTTCCACTGACCAGAATTTCTTCCACGAGGTGGTGGATATCACACTTGCAAATGAAGTCGAGGGTTGAAAGGAACCTGAGCCTCCCGCCGCCCTATTCCTCACTTCAAGATACCCTGACTTAACTGTGTTGGTGCCATTAGATGACGGGACCAATATCTACGATCCCCATTTACGTGTTGGTTCTTGGGGATATAAATAGCTAAAACAGCCTTAGCCACCGCAGGTGAAAAAAACTGTCGGACCAAAGGTTCCCTCTACTCCTTATTCGAACCTATTAGGTCGCTGACCTTCCAGTCCAACAGGCCATGGAATGGCACATTATTTCTCAGAAGATTAGCCATGTTGGGTATCCAATCATCTTCCAGTCTAATATCGCTCCCAGTGACATGCCATTTTAAACCCCCTGCCAATAGTTCACGGCCCCACATAATACTCCGCCATCCCCATGACATGTTGTTTTGGGTTGGTAGTCCAAGAAGTCTTGACCTTTGGCATATTTTTCCAAGAAGAACCGTGAAAAGAAGGCATCATTATTATGCACCATACGTCAAGCCATTTTTGCAAGAAGCGCTTGATTTATTTCTCTTGCTGCTCTGAACCCAAGTCCTCCTCACAGTTTGGAAGTGCGAAGGTGATTCCATGACTTCCAGTGAATGCCTCAACCTTCTTTGTCACCATTCTAGATGAACTTGGCAACTATCTTATCTATTTGTGAAGTTACACTCCGTGGCAGCTTAAAGACACCCATCATGTAAATAGATAGAGTGCTCAGTGAATGCTTGGCTAGTATAACTCTGCCCATCATTCAGAGAGATTTTGTCTTCCAATGACTGAACTTTTGTTTCAGACGAGCAGTAATGTTACCAAACAAAACGGTCTTCCTTTGCATAAAATCCAAGGATAAGCCCAGATACTTCTCCTGATATGCCCGAACCGGGATACGCAACCACATACCATTCCAAAGCTAAAAGTTTGGTGAAATGTGAGGACTCACCAGCAATGAAGATTTGTCAAAATTTATGCGTTGGCCTGAGTATTTCGCATATTGATTCAGGAGTTCTGCAGAGCCCTGACATTCTCTTGTTTAGCTTCCATAAAGATCAAGCAATCGTTGGCATACATCAAATGCGTTAAGCGAGCCACTGACCGGCAAATCTTGAAACCGAAGCCATTACACAACTTGTCCATATCATTTAGAGCACGATACAAAACTTGTTGGGAGATTATGAAAAGATACGGAGATAATGGGTAACCTTTGCCGAAGCCCTATGACCGGTTTGAAGAAATCAGATTGCCAGCCATTTACACAAATTCAGAACGAGACTGTGTTCACACACTTCATTACCAGCTCAATGAAGATAGTCGAAAAACCAAGTTTGATCAATGTTTGCTGCAAGAAAGCCCAAGATACTCTGTCGTAAGCTTTACTCATATCAATCTTTAGTGCAGCCATTCCTAGTTGGCCCTTTTTCCTCTTCCTGATATGTTCAATAGCTTCATGAGCAATGAGAGTATTTTCGCCTATATTCCTGCCTGGAACAAAACCATTCTGGTTTTCAGAAATCAGATTGGCAAGATTTTCTTGAGACGGTTTGCTAAGACATTTGCAATTATCTTGTACTTGACATTGCAAAGACTGATAGGATGAAAGTCCATAGGAGTCTTGGGGTTACTCATTTTCGGAATGAAGATAACTTTCATCTGGTTCCAACCATACTCCCATTGATGTTTATTTAAGACCTTCACTGGAGCTGAAAGGGTTTTATCCTTAACTGTCTCCCAGAATTGTTGAAAGAAACCCGCTGGAATACCATCAGGTCCCGGCGACTTCCACTGGGCCATACCAAAAAGAGCCGATTTAACATCTGAGAGGGTGAAGGGGCTTTCCAGAGCTTCTACCTGCTCCATAGATACCTGTGGTTGGATCAAGTCCAGGAGGGGTGGTCAAGTGCCCCAAATTTCATCATCATTGGGATAAAAGTCATCCGCCACAAGCATTCTGCTAAAATGTTGCAACATAAGTTGTTGGACTTCCTCCTATGAGTTTTTTTATATACCAATCTCATCTTGAAGAGCGTTAATCCAGTTACGAGCTTTACGTCTTGTTGCCCAGCTATGGAAATAACTTATGTTTCTATCCCCTTCATGTGACCAACGAATTTTTGCCTGTTGAGACCAATAATCACTCTTGTATATGATATGGCGCTCCAATTCCTCTTTTTGTCAGCTATCAAGGTACTATTTTGCACTATTCCACCCCCCATTGGAGTTTCTGCAATCTGGTAGTGCACTTATGGATATTCATATCAATGGTGCCAAAAGACTGTTTGTGCCAACTTGATAGATGCTTGATTCCACGTTCCAAGGCTATCGAGAAGGTAGACTTTACATCTTCATTACTCAAAACGTTTGGTAAGTTCCATGACTCCTTGATGATTTCATGTGCCACAGGAACTCTTACACAAAAGGACTCAAAGCGGTAAGGATAACTTCATGCACTGCGCACTTATTCGTGGGTGTAGAATACAAAAGGCCCATGATCCGAGATGGAAATTAGGAGATTATGTATGTGAGTTTTTGGGAAAGCTAGAAACCTGTTTGAACTTGCAAATCCTCGATCCAACCGCTCTACAATGAGGTTATTCCCTTTCCGATTGTTGGACCATGTGAACTTATTACCCCGAAAAAGGAACTCTGCCATATTAAAAGTATATAAAAACTCCTGGAGGGGAGCCGATGACTTATCTTTAAAAGGTAGACCCCCTCTTTTATTTCCGGGTTCCAAGATTTGATTAAAAAATCCCCAAATATAGCCCAATTCAAGTCATAGCACAAGGCCAAACTCTGGATTTCGTGCCATGTCTTAGATCTTTGCTACTACTCCGGGTGGCAATATACAAAAAGAAGATCCCATGGCTGGCCAATAACATCCCAATACTTGAGTGCTATTACATTCTGCTGATGAGCTAATACTTCCAGCTGCAGGTTATGAGACCAAAAAAGAGCTAGGCCTCCCGTTGAACTCACCAAATCAACAACAACCCAATGACCAAAATTGGTGTTATCAACCCATTTATCTACCACATTCCTACAAACCTTAGTTTCTTGCAAAAACAAAGTATCAGGATTGTACATATTTAGTAGCTCCTTAAGAAACTGTTTCGCAGGCATCCGGTTAAAGCCTCTGTAATTCCACGAAAGGACTCTCATGGCTGCTTGGGTGGTTGATTTGGTTCAACCACCGAAAAACCTTCAAAATTAGCATTTTTGGGGGAATAACAACAGCAAGAATCCCAAGCAGATTCCCGAACTCCCTCACCTCAGTAGTTGCAAAAGAAGCCTTCTTTTCAACAATAAAGTTCATGCCTAGCATATCACCCGGCATATCCGTTGCTCTCCGATACTTCCTTTTGAAATCTGGCATCGAATCCTCTATTCCCAATCTTTTCCTTTTATCCCCAGCACTCTCACTTGAACTAGAGGAGCTAGCAATCACAACAGGGAGACGAGTCCACTTTCTAGGAATTTGACTGTGATCCATCTATCAACAACATTTAGTGCCTCGCCAATAGTTTCATGAGACCTGAAATCAATCAAAGTGCCTGCAACCATAGGTGATTCTATTCTCTATTTTTTAGAAACTTTTCCAGGAGAACTTTCTTGAAAGAATCTTTTCCTTGGCTTAAAAGAGAAAGAGCGCGGGAGTGGGTTAGTTTCTCTCCCCAAAAACTGAGAGGATTTCAAATACCTCCTTTTCCTAGAAGCAATACATACTTCGGGAGTTTGTTGATGATGCCAAGTTGCACCAAAGGTCCTTTTCCTACTCTATTCCCATAACTGTAGATGTTCACCTTCCCAAAATTCAGTCTTAGCACTCATACTGTTCTCGATGAAAACATGACGTGCAACAGACCCAAGTAGTTCAAACTTTCTTTGCTTATAAGTCCCAATCGATTGTGTACCAACACTTGCCTTATCATACATATCCCAGAAGTTGAGAAGGTTCTTTTCCAACTCCATGTTCCTTCTCTTCTTTGGATTAGCTCACAGCTCAGGATAAACTTTCTGCCCCCACCTATTATTGATTCGAATATCCTTTGAGCACAAAGCAGATACAGTATTCTCTATCTCCTAATTGAATTTAAATTTGTTCAAAACCCTTTCATCGTTGAGACTCATGGATTCCAGCAATGGATCAAGATCAAATTTTGAAGAGAATCTAATCTTTTCTTGTATTGGCTCATGTAGTGTACACCTAGATATTGGATGTCCCATTTTCCTGCACTTCCGACAGACTTTGAAAATACCTTCATATAAACATTGTATCCAAACCAAGTTTCCATTCATGAGTTCATAATAAAATCCAGAGGTAAGTGATTCAAAAGGTTTTATCCATACTCGCACTCTGAGAAAATTCGCTTGCTTTGCCTTCAAAACATAGCCACCAACCAACTTTGGGTCTCCAACACCTACTGCTAAATCCAGAGCTGTTGAATTGTCAAAGTGCTCTAGAGGAAATCCATAAATTCTTATCCAAATTAACATTCTCTCTACCCGGAGATGTTTAGGAGTAAGATTCGGGTGCCATCAATGAAGGACTAACAGCGCTCCATCAATAACATAGG